TGTCCGCGTGAGGTACAATGCGCAGCGACGGCATGGACGGAAGTGCTGCCAGCCGCCGGTGCTTCGTCGCTCGGGAGGATGGACGGCTTGGAAGTTGCAGTCACAGCATCCATCGTTTGGAAAAATGCCCCTGTCGATCCTTGTGGAGGAATCGTCAGCGTGGCGCGGCTGCACTTTGCCCCCCCGCAGCATGTCCCTGCTTGTCCGCACCGGTTCCAGCCAGCATGTCCTGCCCGTGCCCACAAGGCAGAAGCGACATCGGCGGGGCATCCCCACTGATATTCGTCGCGTGCATATGTCCATGCCAGTCGAGATAAACATGTCTCGGTGCCCCTCCACTTACTGCGTCCATGGCATGTCCGCCGCCGAGCCGCTATCGCGCAGGACAATGCCTCATCGATCGTACGGTGTGCCCGTCTCCATATTTTATCGGCGTCATCGACCTCATGCGCTCCACGACGGGTGAACTCAATCCTTGGACGATCGACAGATTCAGAAACTTCGTTGATGTGTGACGTTATAACGTGCATGCGACGCAGTGGGCGAACGACAACGGGTGCACTGCCCTCTCCTCCTCGATGCTCCATCAGCCACATGATGCAATGTCACGAACGGAGTATTCTCCAACACAAGGGTAGCCCTGCCAAACTGAAGTCGTTGCGCTGGCGACGGAAAGGGTACGACATGGATTCTCACCCAGTCGAGCGTTGCGGATCACGATCTGCACGGATCGACCTGTCGAACGTCACCACATCACGGGGGCAGGCAGCTTGCGCCTCGGCGCCATCGCAAACGAGTCCACCGTCAAGCTGAGCTCGCTTGGATGAAGCGGTGTTTCGAGAAAACACAGGATCTATACTTTGTGGCTGCGGTATTCGTTCGATGGCGCTCTGTGGCCCGTGTCTCGCCCAACGTGCTTGAATGCGACTCGTGCTCGTTGCTCATCTTGAGCCCGTCATGAAGAAGAAGGCCGACGTGTATGCTCGGCATGTTTGAGATGTGCATTTGCAGCATATGGATAGCCTGAGTGGGTTCCCGCAACTATCGCCCGTGTCACGGCGCATCGGACATTAGTTATCGAGGGCCTTACGGCCGAAAGCGAGTGATGGCGACGAAGCGAAGCTTTCAAACGTGGCAGGCCAACAACCTTTCAGACCATCGACCATTGCGACTTTAGGCTCGCTCAGCAAACTTGTTCACAGATCCACGTTGGAACAGCGCTTCTCCCGTGTCGAGGAGGGCCCGTTCCATGGTGGGTGCAGAGCGCAGACCCAAGGTGCTCTAGAGCCAGGACGTGGCGCCAGGGTGCAGACACACCAGGCTTTGGTCAGACCCGGTCGCTGTGCAGTCGAAACCTCGGATCGTGCACACCGCGCTTTGGTCGTGCGTTTTCGGACATCGTACGATGGCATGGGGCGTACAATGGGCGTGGGTTGTATCGAGCGCGGCGAGGAGGCTCAGTCTCAGCTGGAGCATGCGGTGCGTGTCCGCGTGGTCGTCGGCGAATTCGCTGAGCACAAACACGTCCACGTCGACGAGGCTAAACAATGGCTTGGCGCGGTATCGCGGGTTTTTATCGTACAAATCATGGAGCACACCGCCGCGGTACTCGATCGTGGTACCGCCCTTGTACTTGGATTCAACGCCCATCATCCTGACAAGCCACCGGTGTCTGGCGCTGTGGAAGTAGCTGTTGCCGGCGGGGCCCGCCGCTGTCACAGGTTTGGACTTTGTCACGGAGAAGGCGTTTCTAGCCCTTTCCATCGTTCGACGAAGGTGGACGTACGACACCGAGTACATGATTGGCAACGACGCCAGCATCGTGGACACTGCCACCAACCCTGCGGAAGCAAGGCCCCGTGAGTGCCACGTACGCAATGGCCATAGCGAACTATTTCCCGTGATGCATTCAATCACTTCGTGCGCCTCTTCCGACGGGACGAACAATCCCCAGACAAGGTGGAACAGCGCCATGACGGGGGTTGTCGCGCACAAGGCGACGACAGGGCCACCGTAGCAGTAGGCAGCCACGATCAACAGATCGGGATGAACCGGGCGGAACTTGGCTTCTTTGCCCGACCGCTTGATGGCCACTGTTAGCAGCTGCATCGTCAAGAACCCACACCACACCTATGCATGATCCCTCCGTCACATGTCAGCCATCCATTCCAGGAGACGTCATACGTTGCGGGACGAGTAAATGCACCCGAGAACAAACACCAACACGTCGTTGAACTGGCCGACGCGAACAGCGGCCATCGACAAGTACGTGGGGCTGACAAAATGTCGATGACCATGACCAACGCGACAACAGGATCCGACACGACGAGGCCGGTGGGGTCGCCGACCACAACGTGAAACGAAGCGCACTCGGGCCAGTCGTCCAGCCCGACGACCTGCAGCTGCGTGTGGAGGGCGGTCACGTGGCGGTAATACTGGTGCCAGAGGATCCGCAGGATGTAGCACGCGAGAAGCGACCGATACGACAGCTTGACCCAACTCCACACGTCTGTTTCGAGAATGACGACGCCGTGGTACACGGTGAATTGCGCCGCCTGTGTCGACGGCGGCTCGATCCATGTGCACGCTTCCCCGACGGCCTGGCCAAGCAGCCGGACGTGGTGGCAGCGCTGCCACGTCGCGCCCATCGATCGCATCGAGTCGTTTGCAGCCAAAAAGTCATAGACAAACGCACGGAGACCCGCGCCGTAAAAGAGCGATCCTGCACACGGCATCAGGACACGCCAACGGCGACGGCACACGACCTGGAAACGACACGAGCGCGCGAAACGCGTCGAACGGGTGGTCCACGAGCTCGTGGGACGGTGGGAACGTGAGGGAGTAGCGCACGGCGTGCGAGTTGGAGTCAACGCTCCGCATACACACCACACCTGGACCCATCGTGTGGTTGTTGTACAACGCTTGCAGCATCGACGTCGCCACGGCCGTGTACGTATCGAACGACGTCCAGGTAAAGTTGTCCCGTGCCGGGATCGTCCATGGAAAGGGCTCCGTCGCGTACGCCATCAAAGGCTACAGCACCGACGCAATGGTCACCACGACGTAGACAAGTGTGGTCGTACCGTGCTCACAAGACTCATCGTCAAGGCGAGATTGAGTAGGACTGACACGCGGTGGTACGCTGAGTGAAAGCGACGCGGCGGAGGAGCGGCGTCGACGTCCTGCGAGGCGCGCCCCGAGTCTTTGCCACCGTTGGTTTGGCAGCTATACACCTTGGTCATGTCGGCCCACCGTGTCTACAAGTGCCCGACAACTGGACGAAGACAGGGTAAAAATACCCCCCCACACACACAATTCGCTTCGCCGTTATCGACTGGACGCCCGTAACACTTGAATCACACGGCGAGAGCCGGCGACGATCCCCCACTCACCGTGTGGGCTTGAGTATGCAGCTGCATGCGCCAGGCCAACGTGGGCATGCGGCCACCAAAATTGCTGGGGTCATTGCCCACACGCGGGCGAGTGCCCAAGTTGTGCGATGCTTTTTCGCAAGAAGTGTGTGGGGCGTTGTTGTTCGAGAACGGCTCATGTCGCCGTGGTTTCACACGGCAATGCCCAGGAGGTGATGACATGCCGCGCAGGCACATAACGTAGATGATTCCGTCGACTTGGACGGCGCGGGGGCCGGACTCGGGACTTTTGTCCAATTCGCATAGCAGGTGGTGCCAGCGACTGCAGTTGGTGTCGGCAACATGGATGGGCTCTAACGGATCGCGACTTTTGGAAATGACATCTCTACCGTCGTCGATGCACGTGTGCTAACTCCACATGGATTGGATGTCACCACCATCCACGCGCGGGACGCCATGGCTCATCGAGCAGCATTCACGAAATTCTCGTTCGCTGCTTCCAAAGTCTCGATCGAACCGATGGATGAAGAACCATGCACTTGTTGACCACTTGCGAGCGACGAAAGGCTTGGGGGCACGTCCATGGACTAGGATGTGGACGGGCGTCGGGCGACCTCTCCATTGAAGTGGTTTTGAAATGGTTCATGCACTTCCGATGCCAGTATGGCAACTAGAGGTATCGTGGGTCGTTAGTGCTTCCTTCGCCATCAACGTTGCCGCATTGGCCTGGCCGCTTCATTCTCTCCCTCTTGACCTTTCAAGGCTGCACCTGTCGGTGCTCTGCATTCCCCAAAACTATTGGAATCCTCCGCGGTTGTGCCACCGCCATCGACAAGGGTATCCAGGATGCAGTCAAGATACCATGCGCTAGCGACTTACGTCGTGAGGCAGAATGGCTCAAGACGGTCCACACAACGAGCAAGTCCGTCGAACAACTCACCGATGCTGTCGACTCGCTCGGTTCCGTCATCGATTTGACAGTGCCCTGATATCACACAGCCGAAACCATTTCGTGTGTCCAAGCGTCCCGCCGCGGTCACACCGTCTTGGGCTATCGATAGATTTTGCCCCACGTCCACAAGCGGAGACCGATGTCGGGTTTGCTACCACCGCCGCCACTTCGTCCGCGCGGTTCAACCGGCTGTCGTTGGCCAGATGGGCTGCATTGCGAAATGGAACCTGGCTGCCATGGTAGGCGGTCGTGGGCTGACTGACCTGCTCTGAACTGCCGTCGCATGTCGCCGCTCAACGTGTGCATCAACAACATTTCCGTGAAGCATGTCTTCGTTCCCGACATGTGACCTTGACCTTGTCAAGTCGTCTGGGCTGCTTGAATCGTTGCACGCCCTCGCCCAGTTGTCGACTAAGCCGCTCGTCCGTAGCGAATGGATATTTGTCTTACACGACACGATGAGGCTGCTCACGACGGGGGAGCTGCCTCACGCATGAGATTCCCCGACCAACGAGATGACCGCGGGCCAGGAAGGGTTTGTGTTACGAACGGAGACGATGCGTCCAACGCAAGCTTTGTGATATCTCTGGTCCATATCGACGACGTTCCGTACATAGCGCGACGACTTGGGAGCCGCTTACTGTAGTTCAACCAGCTCGCTCAGTCGGCAATGGACACCGAGTCACCTCCAACTACTCCCACGGGCCTGGTGGCAGCGATCCGCATGGAGTGCTCTCCACTGTCGGTTCAACCGGCTGCCGATCCTGAGCCACCGCGCAGCCGGCTGCTTTATCTCGTGCATTCATGGCAACGTGATGAACCACACCACCATCAGAAACACCTCTGGAATCCACTCGTTCCGAAATGTCCAGGGGACCGATCGCGCCGAAGGAGAACTGTCTGTGGCTCATGCAGCTCATCAAGTATGTTGAAGGAGGCTGGTTACGACCGACTGCCATGTGGACATCCAAAGCCACGTCATGACGGCGGACATGCACTCTACGCCATCCTGCGCAGCGCGGCAAACGAAGCTCGAGATGAGCGTAATGCCGACAAGGAATGAACAATGCTGGTGGTACCGTTCGCTATGCACGGACACTCTCGCTACGACACCATCTTCAATCCTGGCGCACAGCTTCTTGTCCAAGCGTGCATCCAAGTTGGCCAGCTCGAACCGAAACTGCACTGGTCGCCATCGCCAGCGCACGAGACTCATCTGAGGGCAAGATCGTGCCGTATCCCCCGTCGCCTGTACGAACACCTGCCTTAGAGCTGCTCCCAACTCCTGCCCTAGCGAAATGGCTGAGCTGGTGAGAGCAGGGTCCAAGACACCGATAGCCTCCGCCATTCCACTTGAACTTCGGGAAATCCGGATGATGCATCCGGATATCTTTGGCAACATCACTCGGATCGCACGCGCGATGGACACACTCATGCTGTGCTGCTTGGGTTGTCGAAGGCAGTCGCGGCGGACGAACGTCCTCATCGCGCACTTTGAAGGTATCAACGCCGTCTACCCAGGTGCGGTACTACTAGCGTCGGGACGAGCGAATCTGACATAGCGTGGTGGATGCATAGGTACCGTGTACATGTGCCTGGTCAACGGCCGCGACGAGATCGTGGCGCAGAAAGCTGCCGCAGACTCGACGTCGGTGCATTTACTGCGTCCAGAGGAACTGCCGAACGTGATCTCGACCCTTCGACGATCGGTTGCTTTATTTGGTACGACTTGAGCGACATGAATCGCACCAGCGCGATGCCGTCACTGTGATCTCTCTAGCCAACACACTCCACCACCCCGACACCGCCCCGCATCATGCCGTGCATATTAAAGGAGATCGGCATGTCTTCTCGTCCTACGGCCTTCCCAACCACTATGTGCGTTCAGCCGACGGAAGGAAAGACCTTCGTGCTAATCGGTCGTGTCCGTAGGTGCTTGCATTCTACACTGTCATGCCCACGGACGCCATCGCCTCATGGAACTGCACCGCGGCCGACGTTCGCCTCGAGTCGATCCTTCAAGACCTTTCCCGTCTCCTCGACCAACATCCCTCGTGATGCTACATTGTCGCTCGATCGTTCTTCGTATGTATGCTAGTATGAATTATCATCGTCGAACGTCCTCTGTCTACTTTCGCGGCGGTGTGGCAGGTCGCTGAGCTGCAGGGGCTGCTCCACCAGCAGCAGCACCGCCAGCACCCGCCGGCATGCCTTGGTATGCGAACCGCTGCTTCTTCTCGGCTGGCTTGAGGATCTGGAACGAACACATGAGCGACTCATCGACGGACATCATGGCGCCGGCGTTGTCAAACTCGCCACAGTAGTTGGGCGCGCTGAACAGCGTGACAAGCTGGCGCTTGGCAAAGAACTCGTAGCCATCTTCAACGACTTGATGGGCGCGACAGATGAGGTCGAGGTCGTGTCGCTTGAGGAACTGGCCGACAATGTCCGGACCAAACGTGAACGACACGCCGCGGTCGTTTTCACCCCACCCCAGAATGTCCTTTTCGGGGTCGCTCCACAGCAAGTCACATAACAAGCCCGTGTCTGGCACGTCCGTCGGGCGGACGAACCGCTTGATCTGTTCCATTTGACTCAGTTCCGGCGACAATCCGCCGTGCATGCAAAAAATCTTCTCGTCCACAATCGCGGCAACGGGAAGACAGTTGAAGCAGTCCGTGAATGTCTTCCACAGCTTGATGTTGTACCGACGCTTGCATTCATCGTAAAATCCGTAAATGCGGTTGATCGACGCGCATTCGTGGTTCCCCCGCAGGATGAAGAAGTTCTCGGGGTACTTGATCTTATATGCGAGGAGCAAGCAGATAGTCTCGAGACTTTGCTTGCCACGATCCACGTAGTCCCTACCACCCCACAGAACAAGTCACCACCATCGAAAACACACACATATGTGTTCGAGCGCGGAAACGTACCCGAGGAAGAGGTAGTTTGCATCGGGGGGGAACCCACCATATTCAAACAATCGCAGGAGATCGTAGTATTGTCCGTGGATGTCGCCGCAAATCTTGATGGGTGCTTCCAACTCGACCAGAATCGGTTGCGACAGAAAGATTTCACGCGAGTGCACACACAATCCGCGGATTTCTGACTCGGTCAGGTTCACCTGCTTCCCTGGTCGCGCGCCACGGACGCTCAAGAGCTTCTCGATGATCCCGTCAACGTCGATAGACTCAAGTGCCGACGACGCCATGCTCCTTCCTGCGTTTCGTCGGCGAAAAGCGAAAATGGTGGGTGGACTTAGTGGGTCGGCGCCTTTTTTATTTTACACGTCGCAGAATTCAGTCCCCTGATACAAATCTCAAGTATAAATTTCATCGAGGGATAAATTAATATTCCAATCCCCCGTGCACTCTCACAAACCGGTGCTCTCTCGCGCTCTCCCCTTAAGAATAGATGCAACATGACGCGGGCCTGCGGCACGGACATCAGCGCAGCAACAGGCACAATCGATGAAAGCATGGCACCGCAACGAACCTCGTTGTGGCATGAAGAAGGAACTCGTTCGGGCGACCCACGCCGACGACCAACCCCTGTGCACAGACCCCGTCAATCCGGGCTCAACTTGTCGGGGTCTTCATGCGTACGTCGAGGACTCCAAACGTTGGGCGCCGCGCAAGCTGTATTGCACGTGCTGTTTGATGGCCAAGTTTCATGTCTAGTGCAGTGGATGTGGACCCATCGTGTCGTCTTGTCACCCAATTACCATGCCCAATCCTTTCGCGCGACTCAACCAGGAAACTCCAAGGGCATGATAGGTGGTAGCAAGGAGCATCGCGTAAAGCGCATGAGGATCAAAGGACGACATGCGACTGCGAGTTGCGTGCGTCAGTGAGCTGGATGGGACGTAATGGAGCAGGTTCGGTCGATGGCGATGTACGGATACAGGATCCGGATAACGAGTGCGCGCGAGAAAGGACATTTTCAAATTTGAAGGATTATTGCAACATGGGCTTTGACGTGGTGAAGCGGCGGAAGGGCAGCCGGGCGACGTCCTGCGCTTCGATGGATGATTTGACGTGCTCATAGACAAAGAATGTTGTGGCGCACTGAGGAAGGATGCGGAAAATGTTGACGCGGAATCCAGCGTAGAGTGACCCGACTCCTTCCTTCCGTGCAATTTGGACCATCGCGTCGGCAAAGTGCTTGTATGTGCTTTTCCCCATTTGATCCTGCATGCGCGTGCGGACGACATCCCCTGGGTACGAGAAAGAGGCAGCGATGGCTTTGGATACGGTTGCGGCGAGAACGACTCCAATTGCAGACGGCTGTACAATTCTCCAAGTGTCAGTCCCGCAGTGGAGAAAAGATTTCACTGGAGGAGTGAGTAGCTACCTTTTGTGTGTCGGGGTCAATTGCCACTTGATGCTTGAGGTATTCGTACACGGGGAATTGAATTCCATAGCTGAGAATCCCAAAGCAGGATGCGGACAAGCCTTTGAAGAATGCTTCTGGCCCCTCCCGCTTGAATATGGTGGCCACCGTGCTGCGAAGGGCTGTGCCAACACTGCCATGAGGTCAGGAAATATCTCACATGACAGTACTGGAATAGTTGTCTCGTGCATGTGACGACGATGTGATTTGGTGCAGATGTTGCGTGTGCATTCGTGTGCGAAGGAACCAAAGTGGGTACGTGGCGATGTCGACGGTCGTGCCTGTGATGGTTGCAGATAGGCCTTGGATCACAACAGGATACTACGTCATGACGAATGCAATTGTGATGATGGCATCTCACACAGCAACGTGACGTTACCTCATCCAACGACGTTTTATTCAGCTGGACCTTGACAAACTCATACGTGGGGAAGTACAGCGACCAGTACACGGGAAAGCTGCACAGTGCTGCAGAATACCCTCGATACATGCCTCGGAGCCCTTCCTCGACGTAAATCGTATGTACGGAGCGAAAGATCCCGGTATACTTAGCCTCGGTCATGATTCCGCCTGCCAACGTCGAGGCGTATGACCAATATGCGAGTGACAACCAAGACGTACCCTGAACTTGGATGCGTGTCTTGGCGACGTCGAGAGGGTTCGATATAGTTGCTGTCGCCGCGCCAGAGATTGCACCCGCGAGAACCGGCGCGTTCGCTCGGACAACGTCCATGACGGCGGCGGTGTCGCGTGCCATCCAAATCGGCAATGGAATTCTGCCGGATGCGGCTCGTGAGTGACAAACAAGTGTCACCGTAATCAAGGCATCGCATTGGCTCGTTTCACAAAATTTGCTTCATTTGAACCAATCCAATTGTACCATGGCTCTACCACCCGAGCGCGGCGTATCGCCGCCGAATAGCGATGCCGGAAACGAGCCCTGCAGCATCTATCGACTGATTCAACGCCAACGCAGCTTGGTTTCCTCGCATGGTTGCAAGACCATTTCATCCATAATCACGTCGCTTCCATCGCTCGACGATCCAAACTACGAAAGATGCGCGTCCTACTTCACATGGAAAGGTTGGTTGTTTGGCCAATCATCGAGGCGACAATGGTGTCCAA